CAATGCTGCTAACAAAGGTTACTTTGCACTGGAAAAACTTTTCAAATCAAAGTTATTATCTACAAAATCAAAATCCATCCTTTATTCAAGCTATCTGCGACCAGTTCTATCCTATGGATGCGAAACGTGGTCGGTAACTAAGGGAGATGAAGAGAAACTTCTGACTTTCGAAAGGAAAGTACTGAGATGCATTTATGGTCCTATCATAGAAAATGGTGAATACAGAAGAAGAACCAATAGTGAAGTCTACCAAATTTACTCAAAGCCCAATATGAAATCCTTCATAAGAGGCAAATTGGAGATCTACTGGTATAATAAAAGATGTAATGATTGGCACTATGAACGGGAAAAGACCTAGAGGGCATCCAAGACAGAGGTGGATGGACTTAGTCAAATCAGATCATAATAAATGTGCTCCAAGATTAAAATTAGAAGAGTGTGTGGATAGAGACAGATGGCGTCAAATAGTAGAAGCAGCGAAGGCCCTAAATGGGCTATAGAAGCTTAAAAAAAAAAATTGGCGACAATGTTTTATCCTCTTTCAAGAGGTGATCACTGTTGAGATGATTCAACAATTAGAAAGTCTTAATAATAGTTTAAGTAGTACAATAGTTTTTTATGAGTTATACCAATAATATTGAACTACGTTTTACTAAATTAGATATAAATATTGGTATTGTCATTTATTTTAGAATGAAGTAAAAATGTAATATTTTATAGGATAGGTTATAAGTTACAAGGCTATAATTATAAATGTAATAATTTAACTATACAATTTATATATTAAAATACCCAGACACTGTTAATAAAACTGAATATACTGATTAAGTTTTATTACAATTTTATGAATAAAATATGTTATTATCAAAGTATAAAAATATGATATATAAAAAAAAAAATAAATGGATTGGTACTTTAGAACTTTAACTTATATAGAATATTGTTTTTTATATACTTTTCATAATTTTGGGAAAAGTCATTTTCCGGAAAATTTATAGAATAATGAACTTTAAAGACTAAACTTGAAAGTTGCATAGAACACATAATTGTTAAGAAATACATTATAAAAATTATAAATAAATTTTTTTTTTTGTAATAAATAATAGAATAATAACTATCCACTACATCAAAGACTAATAGTTTTTAATTATATATATACACATATCATAATTATTGTGAGATAAATGAAGTATTATTGTAAATAATTAATTTTACTTGACTATTTGCTCATAATTATGTTGACAATTTATAACAAAGTAAATTGAAAATAATATACTCTAGTGCCAATTTAAATACATTTTCAAAATTATAATACATCGGTTAATTTTACTACATATGTATAATTAATATTTAAGTTTATTTGACATGCACAATAAATTGTCATAAAAATACAAATAAAATGTTATGTCACTTCTTGTAACGAAAATACTATTGATATATATCCGGAGGACTTTGTTCATTTGATGACGTTTATGGTATAACTTTTAATTTATATTATAATACATAGAAAATATGAAACCAATAATATTACATAATAATCATTTTGCTTGTTAACCTTCTTCGTATTTAGCAAATTTGGAAAACCCATAATATTTGTATCAATAACCTTTTTTTTTTGTTTTAAAACAACGAAATTTAATGTGAAACTATGGTAACCCTGGAGAGTTAGATATTTTATATAAATTAGCTATATTACTTTTAATAGAAAAAATTAATCAACATTTAATATTGACCAATTAGAATTTTTTAGAATCACATTTTGTTTATAATTTATTTTTATAAATAATACTATTTATAATATCATTTATAATATGTGTTATTAATAAACAATAATGATTTAAAATTTAAAATTAATTTAAATTTAAATTATTATATATACATATATATAGGTATAGGTATATATTATTATTATTTAAATTTAAATTTAAAATTTAAAATTTCTCAAAAACTGATGTACTATAAAAGTAAAAATGCATACGAGTACATATCAGCTTTTTCTTTTGGATACTATGTTTTCATTTCTAATGTATCAATCAAATATTCATCAATTGTGATAATTATGAAAAATTAAAATTAATACCTAATATACAATATACATAAACGTGTTATTAAAAATAAATAAATTTTTATAAATGTCTGTAGAATATTCAAGTTAAATCATTTCATTAAATCAATTCAGATAACTATACTTATTACATAATCTTAAATTACTTAACATATGTACATTGCCTTTTTTTATAATATGTTCTTAGAGTGCTTCGATTTTTTTGTATTGTACATGCATAAAACCATGATAAATATCAGTTTTAAAATATTGACCATCCATCTAATAATACAATTTAAAACATTTTACATAACTTCACACATAAGTACTTTGTTTTGAATAAAAATCTATACACTGTATTATATTGAAACTAATTTTTATTTATATACAAAATAGATAGTTCGGTTTAGTATTTACAGACAAAATATTATTCACCTATAAAAGCTAATGATAGCAAATGTTCATTGTTATCTGTCAATTACTTACAATGAATGAACATTTTGCATTTCCACGAATGTGGGTTGTATACTTATTTTTTTTAAAAAAAAATAAGGATCATACTAACCATATTATAATAAATAATGATCATAAAATGAAGTACTCTGTCTCATGATGTTTTATTTGTTAAAATTCATAGTATCACAAAAATGACGCCCTTCATAAAAAACGGGGATCGTTATTGATAGAAACATAATTAGTATCAATGATTCCCAAAAATTCGTTTTTCGGGGTAAAAATTTTTTTAGCTAACAAAATAAATTTAATATAAATTAATAATTATAATATTTTATGTATAAAGGTAAATAAACATGGTAAAGCCAAAGGGTCATGTTCCTTCCTTGCCCCCCAATGGATGCCCTTGAATAATAATTAAGAAACTACAACTTTTAACAATTTTCAATTCTTTACATAATGACTGTATAAAAAGGTAAAGCAATCACTGCAAATGTACATAGAATAAGGAAATCTGATAAACTTTTACAATTATACCATAGTCATAGCCTATTTCAACATTTATTTTTAAAATTTTGAGGAAAATTGATAAAAAAATTAAACAATTTAATTACTATTAAATTAATTATTATTATTTAATGATAATTATTATCAAAATATCATTTTACAGTTTTAAAATTTCTAAAACCAATAATGTAACTTATTTATGTTTGCAATTTATACCCATTGGGATATAGTTAAAAATGTCAGTTACAGAATTACACTGATACGGTAATCAAGTGCGATATAAATAAAGAACATGATTAAAACAATATCGTTTATTTATTTATTTATTTGTTTTAATTAGTTTTATTGGTTATGTTTATTATTTACATCTAATTTATATTATATTTAATCTAGTATCAAATATATTTTATTAATGAAAATTATAATTAGGATTATGAGATCAAAATAAATATAAATAATATAATTTTCCACTAGTCTGATTCACAATATAAAAAAAATGAGTTATGACGTATGGAAACGAAAAAAATCAACTTATGCTAATATATTTACATCAAATCTCAAAGGTAATGCATTATTGATAATACCTAATGTAAAATTTAATTAGCAATCAATGTTTTTTCGCCATCCACAAGTCTATTGTCTTAGGCAAAAAGATTAAAAAAAAAGTAAATTAATAAAAACCAAATAAAAAAGGAAAATGTCAAATAGATACATAATCTACTTAGTAATTTAAGAACTTACAATGCATACTTTGTCGAAACGTGCACGCCTGACATATGAAAAATTCAAGGGAATACTCAGCATTGGTATGTAGTGCTATGGAGGCAACGGAGGGAACGGATGCACGCACTGCTGATATGGACACGCGCATTTTCAAACAACGGAAACGGACTTCGATCAAAATTCAAAATACCAAATTATGTACAATGTACTTTGAAATCTGTGAGGCCCCTCTGATATTGAGTTAGTTTTTATTTTTTCAATTAATGAAAATATATAAATACAATACCTATTAAAAGTTGGTAAAATAAAATGAATATAATAAACGCTGATGTATTATACATAACGCTTATGTATAGTTACATGATTCTATATTATATTCTTATTAACTATTATGTTGAGAAGAGTGTTTTAAATGAATGTTTGAGAAAATGAACAAAAATCACGGGTTATAATGGATTTGTCAAGAACATTATAAATAAAAGTAAGAGCAACAGCAGCAGTAAGCTATCGCTGTGCAAATTTATAGATCATAAATAAACCGTTATAGAACAACGTATAAATAGACATTTGTATTTGTATAAAAAAAAAACTCGGGAATAAGTACGATAAATACGATGAACGTCGAACGACCATTAGATTAGCACGTGCATTATGCAATACCAAGGCTATATTATAACTATTTTTAATCTGAATGGCAGGTGTGTTCTTAAATTATAATATACGACGGCATGTTTTAAAAACCTTGTTTTATTTCAGTAACTGTCCCGAGTTTGGAAAGAATAAAATAGTGTTGAAAACAATGTATTCGTTGTATTACCATATCAGAATTTTGCATCCCTGGGGAAAATTTTGGCCATCGCTGGTCATTGTAATTTCATTAATACTCAATGATAAATTATACAATAATAATAGTCTAGATGCATTTTGCACGAAACGTAAAATTAACCATCTTCATCATCGAGATAGTACGACAATGATTACGTGGGTTATGGTCATGTACATAATGGGGGAGAAGTTAGGGGTTCAACCCCCTTCTGTCCGAAATCCAGGAAAATTATTAAATACGTTTTTATAAAGTAAATCGAAAGATTATATCAGTATGAAAATGTACAACTTAAAACCCCAGCCAAACTGAACGCGCCTGATCACGATATTTAAAAATAAATAACTAAAAGTTTTCGAAGTGATAATATTTTAATACGATAAAATAATTTAGTATATCAACAGGACAGTAATAATAATAATATTTAGTAGGTATTGATAGTCAACTCACTTTGCCAGACAAAAGTTTTTCGAACTGCTCGATGGCTTTAGTGACTGTGAATGAGTCGAAGAACGATTGTCGACCGCCCACCGGGCACACGGTCATGTCGCTCATTCTCATCATACGTCTGTGTGGTCAAACCGGACGTAGTGTCGTGCTGATAATGACAACAGACCGGATACGATAAAAAAACGTCTGGTACGTAAACATAAACGCGACGAGATAACGTGTAACGTATCTTCTGTAAGTCCTCGATCGAAGATGACGACAAATCAATATAAATCAACGAAATCGATTGAAAACCCGCGGTTAAATGTAGCAACAAAATAAATAAGTATCACGTCATTAACACTCCAGTCGAAAAACGCCAGTCGAACACGATTATTGTACAATACGAAAAACTGGTGAGTTGTTCGTGGTCGTAACCGCGATGATGTGTCAACGCAGTCGACCGACCGAACGAATACAGCGAAGTGGAGCGACGATTAGAAACCGAAGTCACGCGTAACAGCTACACACGCAGACTGAAAAAAAAAAAAACGAAACGCCGCACGCGGGAGAACATGAAAACAGCAGTAGCATCGGTATCGAGGACGGCCAAACGCACTGAGGTGGGCAATGGCAATGTGAAACTAAGCGCGACGTTCGGATACCGCGACCCGACCACGGCTTCCCACTCAACCACACGACAACGTCGGTGCGATGGTCCCAATGCATATACAAGACATAATAACTACTACGTTAGATACCCACCACCGACTATTATATATTTTTTTTTTTTTAGGTCAACTACGCGCTCACGTGAGCTCACCACCACGGTCTATGGAATATTTTTGTTTATGTAAATGTAATTGATATTAACACATATTATTATTATTTCTGTACTCGTGAACGCATCGTGGTGTATCGTTGCGTAAACCTTTGTTGTTGGTTTTTTATTCACTCGACTACGCGCGTAAGTACAATATTTTGAAACATTTACGCGCGCCATGGCACGTATAAATCGATAAAACATGTTTGTATACGGAAATAATACTTCGACTTACCTACGGCAGTAGTGTTCCGTAGCATATTAATGAGGGTGATCATCGCCGTGTTTACACATCAAAAACACGTATAATAAAATACTATCTTTCTTGCGTCGTGCCATTTAATCAAAATTGTTAATTGTTTTCACTTTTTATAAACACATAACTTTAAATGGTGTGGATTTAATTTCGATTATAAAAATGTAATTTCACCGAGTTTTCTTCGGTTGTAAAAACGTTAACCGACGAGAAAGTATACCTACGCGTGGAGGTACCAATGTCCCGATGTTTGGGTGTAGAACGATTTTTTATACAATAACTTTCTTCGTATATTAGGATTTAAATGTAGTCAAATTACATAATTTTTAATACGGACTTTGAATTATTTCATATATTCAAAGAAATATAAATGTAGGAGAAAATCCGGGAGAAAATTTCGTGCGACAACAAACGACGTTTCACAACTGTTGTTCTCAACGTATTCATATAGGACAACCGTGCACATGTGAAAGTAATATATTGAAATTGAATACAGGTATGAGGTTATAAAGATCTAGCAATATAGGTATTTTTGTTACAAAATGGTACCAGAGTTATTTTGTTATACACCATAGACTAAAAAATATTAGATTGCTTCTAAAGATAATTAATATGTACCTCCCTACCTGGCTGCATAAACTTATAATATTAAACTGTCTAGATGGCCGTAGCTGGGAACAATTGACATACAATTTGTAAGATATGGAGTTTATTGATACTGCAATCTACAATAGACATAATAAACTTATTTTTCGTTTTACGCGAAAAATAATTTAGAAATTCTACAAGAGCAAACCTCTCATTACTAATTTATTGTTCAATTCAATAAGTTAAATAGATTTATGGGCAGTAGCGTATTTTTAAATTTTTTGTAGAGATTTTTTAAATTTTTTTAAAAAAATAAATGATTTTAAAATATTATAAAAAAAACATATGAGGTATGAATTCATAATTTTATTATTCTTCAAAATAATATAATATACTTATTTAAAACCAAATTATATAAATTAATGTTCACTTTCTCTGTACCTTGGACTTTATGACTTTTGAACTTTTTTTCTACAGGAGGAGGTCGATACTCCCCCCTCTCCGAAAATACGCCCCTTCTTATGGGTATCAATGTATTATTTTTATGAAATCAGAAAGAAAATATTATGACTAGATAATAATTGTTTTTTTCAGATTATTTTGGATACCAATGGTCTTGGATTTTAAAATTATATTTTGATATCTTACTATCAAGATATAAATAATATCATTTTTAAACTAAAAGTAGTTTTTTATTATATTAACTGGCTCAAGAACCCTTTTTAATTTGTAAATTTGGTTCAAAGGTCCAAAAAGGTTGCTGACCCACTGTTCTATACTATACTTATAACGCTATCATATGAACGCTATACAAATATATATGTATGAATATATTGAAATAAAGTTTATTATAGCCCATTATAATCATTAACTTAGTTCGTTTAATTTAATTATTATTATAACACACTTCATCTATTACTATGGATGTATAGTTTCCATAATAACTATAATTATTGTAAGTTAATTATTATTAAATAAAGTGCTTTAAGTCAAAATATTATCCACTTTACATTAGCGTTAAATTAATACTCAATCGATACTAAATAATAATAATAATAATAATAATAATAATAATAATAATAAATGTTATAAATTCTTCCGGGGTTCCTATTTAACGTTTCTAACGGATAAAATTGGAGAAAAATAGAATAACATTTTGAAACAATGTAAAAGTTTCTTCATTTGTTTTAGTTTTAAAAGGATTACTCAAAAAGATAAAAACTAATAACTTATGCTAATACAATAATAAAAATAATAATAATAATAATAATACTGCTAATAAAATTACTTAACTTATTACAAGATACATAATGACAATACGTCAATAGTGGTTAAGTACTATTACTAACCAAACTAAAAAAAAAAAAAAATATGAATTTAATTTAGTTATTTTCCTGCGAAACAAGGAGTGTCACCATGAATTGACGTCAGATTGTTTTATCTCTTAACGTTCAATTACTATAAATAATCAAGTGAACTAAATCACCAAAGAATAATGCTAACCAATTATACAATTATGTATAGGTTAGGTTGAACAAAAAAAAATTTATTGGCAAAGTATAAATGAGGGTAGTTTTTTTTAGACAATGTAGTAATAAAATAATGTCTACATTCAAAAATTAATTGGAATTATACATACATTATTTATATTGATGTATTTATTTTACAGCCACATTTTAACCGTTTTAAAATGTAACAAAAGGTTCAAAAAACTTTTGTTATGAAAAAAAAAAATAAAAAAATAAAAATATTAAATTTAAACTTGTTACATTTTAAATATACTATGTCTTAACGATTATTAATAATTAGTTATAATTAAAAACAACAAATCTACGAAAATATACTTCACTATTTAAGTTCATAAATAAAAATAAATAGTAAGATACAGATTTTTGGTAACTATACATCAGAATATTTTAGACTATTTGACTTATATTTTTCCGAAAAATATATATTGTACTCAAATCATATTATAAGTAAAATTATTACAAATCATCATTATAAATAAGAATTTTAATTATTTTCTTTTATTCATAACACAATTTAACTACCCAAGATTACTTGAACAAGTTATAGAGATTCTACTTGATTATATTTACTTGGGTAAATATAATACGTGGAAAGATTTAAACTTTCCATGAATTGCATTACATGTAAATTTACATTAATGAAATGTACATCAGTTGGTTAAAATAAAATAAATATTTGCGGAGACTATAGAAATCGGCAAAACGTTCCATAGGATAATATTTAAAATAAACATTAAAAACGGAGTAGTAAATAAGGAAAAACTCAGGAAATATAAACGAGGAAGTACATTGTTTAAAAAATATATAAAATTGGAGTATAAATAATAGGAATATATATGGCAAGAAAGTAAAAAAAAAAGTTGGAAAACATTTTTTCATTTAACAATAAGAATATTATGATTTTGGACTAATGTAATTCACATTTTGATACTCGACGTTAATACAAAAATACAAAAGGACCTAACATTTTTTTAAAAATATAAATATGATAGAATTAAAGTATGGTTTTATGTTTTTTTATTCATTTTACAAATCTTGTTCAAGATTATAATTTATATGATTTTGATGTTGGAGTATTGAATAAAATAATTATTTTAATTTCACTTAATTTTGGTTATGGATTTAAAAATAGGTATGTATATGTCTAACATATAATATATATGTGTACATATAATATTATAATAAGAAATGGATTTTATCTCCTTGATTATATAGAACTTTTTTTATTAATTTAATAGGTATTTTATTTATAATAGTAACTAAAAAAAATATCCTATATATGACCTATATAGCAGTAGATAGAATAGTTTTTTTCTAATAATAGTAGTTGATAACTAAAGGTATTATTATTATTTATTTATCATAAGATACCTACAATTTTATAGAAAGGATTTATATATATTTTAAGTGATATTCAAGTAAATGTATAATTTATTATTTTAATTTTAATAGATATACTGTTTGTATTTATTATATTATATTATGTCTTTGACCTGTCAATCACTGTATATAAGGTTATGGTTTTAAAGACGGTAAAATGTAATACTATAGAAATTTTGTGAAGGTCTTAACTAGACCTTAGCGTTATTCATTAATTATTTATCTACCAAAGTTCTCAACAAACATATTAGTTTGAAAATCAATGATCAATGATATATATATATCCAATTACGATTTACTACTTTTGTACTTGATTCAACTCTCCTTCTAAATGAGAGTTTGAAATCAAATATTGAATTTTTTTGATAAAAAAAAAAAAAAAACAAAAGACAGACAAGAACGTTATATTAAACCAATTAAGATTTCTTTAATATTGCTACTTATGATTATAGTATACGATTATAATTACCATGTGTGCACTTAAAATTACATAAACATTTTTGGATTAAAATTGAAGTGGATCGAATAGTTTTTAGTAAATTCACAATATTTATGTTCAGCATTTTTAAAATATTTTCGTTGTACTTAAACTACGTATTTAGCTAATATTTTTTTTTCATATTTTATGTATGGTTTAATATAAAATTGTTTAATGGAAACTAGAATAAATTATTCAACTTAAAACGATTTAATGGCCTGTGCAGACATGTGCGCAACACGTTTATTACACACACAAACATAGACACTATAGATAGTTATAATTAAATTTAAATAATTAGACACATTAATCAGTATACCTATAATTTGATTAATTTTTTTGCCACTTTTTTTACTTTATTCGTAAACACCAACTTATGTTATTTGTAAGATCACATGATCTAGTTGGTAAAAGTTTTAATAATTCAAAATTGACACTGTTTATTAGTGTATTATGTTCAAAGATACAAACGTATTATGTTGCACTATGATTATCAAGAATCACTATAATTAATTTCTATTTTTACACATAAACAAAATATTTTTTTACTTTCATAATTATCATAATTAAATTCAAAATAGCATATTAAATGTATTATAAATTAATTATATTTGTTTTTGTCTCCACCTTTGATTACATTGAGTTCT